TAAGTCGCATACGTAAAATATCCTGTAAAAGAAGTGCTGTTCATTAACGTCATCTCGTCTTATGACCACGCAGAAATGCCTTTATAGCCGAATTATTCAATCACTATTTCAAATCAACATTCAGGATTGGCACAATTTCAGATTTGCGAAGTTTATCACCATAGAAATACATGAGAAAGTTAATTATCGTCTTAATAAATATCTGCATCGCGGTATGGACAATAATATTACCATGCGCATAAAATTGGGACGGTAAATTTACAAATCTTGATAGGTAATATTAAAGCCAGCGCAAATGTTAATTTGTTGCCGATGTGAACCAACGGGTAAACACGAAATATAAAACTTCGATGTCCGCCGACCCACAAGAATTCATATATATATTTGTAAAAAAGAGAGGGCGGGAATATAGATTACCCAAAACCTGGATATCGCCGCCAAAACGATCGGTGACAAGAACAATTAGCGATTACAACGGAATTAACCAGTAAAAAGGCTTTGTTGCCGATTTTTTAATGTTTCCACCACGTTTATTCGGTACTCCTTAAAAATATTCGATTTAAAAAAATATTGAATTTTGCCCACCCCTCCTCGCATATCAATGAGAAATAGTTGTGTAAATATCGCAAAATTTCGGAAAATGCCACGTCCTTTCAACATTGTGATTACAATAAAATGGCACTTAATGGTATTTTGTGAATTTGTTGATTTTGCAAATCTGTGACATGCTGCTAAAAGTTTCGTCTGATTTGAAAATCGTGCAGTTTGGTCACAATTCATCCAAAGTGACTATAACACGTTACTAACACTTTTATAGTCATTTTGAATTCATCGATATCATTGATAGTCACATGACCACTCTCGTTCAAAGAAACGCCCCGGGAGAAGCGGAATCCGTGTGCTTGTATAATAATCATATTATAAACAAGAATTTTGCCGTTAATGCAAAAGCTTTATCTCCTATGTCTGCATCTCATAGGTTAGAATTCCGGTAAATATCGTTATGATATGCAGAATTGAGTTACAAAAGTACCAGTATGTTACTTATTTGTCAACTTAATACTCGAAAATATTTGTTAACTTTGAATTTTTATTCCATTCAAAATCGGAAAAAAGTGCTATTTCTCTTCAAAATCGGAAAAAAGTGCTATTTCGCAGTCCCTAAAATAAGTTGCGAAAGTGCTTCGCAATTTTCGCAAAAAAGTGCGCTAATAGTGAACACTGCTGCTTAGCATGTAATTTTACGTTTTTTATTTGCTATTTTCCTAATATACAACGGTAAATATACTGCTAATTTACAGGCAATTTTACTGTCCATTTACTAGTAAATTCCCCAGCTTTAAGCAGTAAATTCGCTTGCCGTTTACCTGTAATTTTACTGCCTATTACCTGTAATTTTACTACCTATTCACAGTTAAATCACTGGTGTTTTACCAGTTTTCGTACTGTTGTTTTAAACGGTTTTTTTGGTGCCAGCTCAAATACCAGTAAATATTTTTTTCAAATACATCAACTCACTGATTCCCCTGTAACTTGCTATTTGTTTTCCCATGTGGATAAAACACACAAATATGTTTTCAACAAAAATATTAAAGGAATGTAATGTAGAAACAAAAACGAAAATGTAAGGCAAAACGAAAATAACTTTGTATAACAATGAGTCTCTGAAAAAGGTGACCCAAGTTGAGTCAATGACTTAAGTTTCCCCAATACTGCACTGCATTAGAACCCTATTCAGCAGTCACTCCACAAGTTTTCCCAGTCTCATGACTTTGGGGTGGATGACATATTTTTGTCGCTTTTTGCTTCTGGTGCCAGCTGTGTTGATGCCAACGAAATATCTGAAAAATGTATATCAGAATATATTAAATGTGACTTATCAAACTCAAATATCTTTAATTAATGTGGAACTATGAATTACCTAAGTTAACATTCACTGACAAGCAGAAATGCCTGAAATAGAATTTCAGACTTATAAAAATGTGAACTGCAACTTCACATTTGATTGATCACAATGATTATTGATACAGACTTGGTCCAACCATCAAAGGTATTTCAATTTAGCCATGCCTATCTAAAAGTCAGCTGCTCACCTTTGTATGAATTCATACGTTAAAGCAGAATCATCAGGGTATTTCATTTCAAACACAAAAACGCACAAAACATGTACACGAAGGCAGAAAAGAAGTCCGTGCATCTCATCACTTCTATTTGTTCGATGAGAACACAAAATTTTTCTGAGGTGACAAGGTCGTCTCCTGTACATGGAAACAAGTCATTTAAAATGTTTTCAGGTAACAACACAGTACTAAAACTTCTACAATTTTATATCGAAAATATCTTGAAAATAAATTGGGATATAACAGATTGAAAAAAAAACAGAAGAGAAGACAACTTCTCTTTCCATTCTTAGAGAATGAGGTTCTCAATCAGCCTGTCCATTCCCATCACCAACCACAGTGTAATAAACTTGCTGACTGCGCTGAGCATAAAGATTCAACTTTTCAAACATAATGCCCCATATGTATAAATCCTGGATCTGAGCGAAAAATGTAGAAGAATTCTTTTAAAAAGAATGATGGAAACTTACCAAACACAATAATGATTGGAGCTGCTTGCAGTGATGGCAAAACTTCTGCTAATTCTACTTCATTCTAAAAAAAAAATAAGAATTGAGATAACAACTATCAAGAGCCAACGTGGATAAATGTTGTACGCCGAGATACCTCAAAAGAACACAATACATTCAAAATTAATTATTGTCATTTTATATTTCGATTTTGACATTACCATGAGCAGTCAGCGTCGAAAGTGTGAAAGCAAGACCAGGCTCATATAGTATAGTAGTAACTGTTATAATATCAAGTTCATTAGGTTAACAAATAAAAGTTTATTGTGGAGGACACAATAGATGCAACTGTTTAGAAATAAATCTTAGTTCAGACTAGCATACTCGTGCAGAATGTATAAAAAAATCTGCTTTTTGCGTACTTTGCCAAATATTTAACAAAACCAAACCAACCTCAAAAAGCTGATAAACAGATTTTACATCTTCTTTGAAATAGCATGCCAGAAGGTCAATGATCCTCAGAGCTTTTGGAGCTGAATTTCCATGTTCGCTGCATTCTTCTCTAATCTTTCTGGCAATGGCAGGTATTCCAGCATGAGATCTGGACTTGAGTGCTCTAAAGTAATAATGAGAATGCATAAGTACTGATTGCTAGAAAATGACCATTAATTGTAAGAAACAGAGTAGGAACCAGATCTTCCGATGTGTGGTCATGCAAAAGATTATCAGCCAAAGCATTGCAAGGTGGTCATCTTTAATGACCAGTTTGTCACTTCACTTAACCAGCTCATATTATGCCACATTACTCAAAAGTCCTTGTAGTCGAGAACATAAAAGAGTATAACAGCAGCCGCTAAGCATATTTTGATAATAAATAGTATAACATACTTGAAAATTTTCTTTGCTTGTGAACATAGTTTGGAATTGAACAGTTCCACTGCATCTGGTTTGTCCATGAGTGTACAGAAATGATCATAAAGATGCTCTTTAATTAGAAGGAATGGAAATTCACTTTTTATCTGTTCAATCGTGGTTTTGTTGTGTATCATTTCTCTTTGGAGCTCATAAGTTTCTCCCATTCGGTATTGAACCAAAGATGAATCATGCGCTTGAAGTTTATAGTGATCAATGAGCCACAGCTTTGCTTCATTTAGGTGCTGCAATGAAGATTCCACAAGCTTTTTACGTGCCGAAGTTGGCGTTGATACAATCGCTCTTTTAGTTTGTCGTCTGACATACTCATACCTGTACAATAACTGATCTGCTAGTGACTGGATGCCAAAATTTATTTTGTCACTGTGCAGGAAAGTATCGCTGAAGGAATTGGGATATTTTGATGAGACTTTACATGCAATTGTGTGCAAGTTTCTCTTTCCTGGTTTTGGATAAGTCTTTGTGATTTCCTCAATGAGAATTTTCACCATTTCTCTTCTGTTAAAAGGAGTTGGTACTTCATTGTTATTGCAGCTTGTTATTAAGTCTGCAGGAAACTTGTGCCACGGGATTTCAAAATTCATGGCCCAGTTTTGCATTGGTGAAGGTTGTAAAGAATGGCTGCTGTCAGTTTCAACACTTGACGTCGAATTATATTGCTCCTCAACTGTAAAAAAAATGTAATATGTATAAAACTTGAAAAAAAAAATCAATGAAATTCGAAGAATTTTTATCAGTCAATAGTTTTCCATAATTTTTTTCCAATTTCTTTTCATTGAAATATACAAAAAAAATTTTTCAGTAAACTATGGCCATGGGCCCGAAAGCATAAACAAATTCACCATATGTTAAAATAAACTTATCATGTGTGTAGGATTGATATAAAATACGATTAACAATTCCAAATATTTAAGCCATACTGTACATACTTTTGTCTGCTTTCCAGGTCATTATAAGTTTCCGGGCTTGGATTGTTTTCAAAATGCTTCCTTTAGTGAGGTCTTCTTCATTAATTAAACTTAAATCTTTGGCTTCCTCAACTCCCAGATCATTAACAATAATATAAGCAACTTGATTTGCTAATTCTCTTGGTACATTAAGTACCTTTAAAATATCGTTCTCAATTTCTACCTGCATACTGTTAATGAAAAATATGAACAGTACAAAAAGGCGAACTTAAAAAAAAATATTATAGGTGTCAGTGTCACAGGTTATAAGACTTTTATCACAAATGCCATCAACTTACATGATGTTTGAGTGCGAACCATGAATCTTTCCCTAACCTGTACACACATATGGGATCATAGTCCAAAATTTGGTCAAATTTCAATATTTTGTATGGATTCAAATCATCCCCAAGTAGATATATTCCAATTTGAGGATTATATGTGCCGTTAAATGTTTTCACAACCATGTATTCTTTTTCTTGATAAACAAAAATACATTCAATTTTACCAACTACAAAATCAAAGTCAACTTTTTCAAGTAGAATATATTGTTTTTTTTGTATTCAGTTCCTTGATAAAAAAAATTTATCCAGAAACTGGCTATCATTAAAGGGAAAACCCCTCTCATCAAATACGTGCATGATAGCTTCAGAATATACAATTTGTTGATTTGCTAAATGTCGCCGAATTAGGGGACATGCGAATCGTTGTTCTAGCATGCAAGCTTGCATCATTTGGTGACTATGTGCAAGGGTTTTGCACACATTGACAAAATTCCCAGTTCTCCGGACTACATTTTTAAAATAGGAGTGCTTTCCCTCAAACCTCAAAGTCCAGCATCGAATTAAGGGGCCAAAAAGTGAGATCAATTCCGGATAATGCATCAAATAATGGTGCTTAGGTCGCACTGTATGACCAGAAAATAACTGTTTACGGGATGCAACATATAGCGGCAATAGCCATTGAAGTGCACTGATAATTGCATTTGAGGCCTTTGGTGCACAAATCAACTCAACAATATATCTAAGATTGATGATCATTTGCCAAATTGGATCATCAAAGTCTTGGACCTTGTCAACCACCCAAAATGGGAAAAGCCTTAAAAACGCTCGATTTTGTGAAGCATTTCCAGTCAGTTTTTCCAAATTTGGTTTCAATATTTGTGGCTTGGAGGTACTGTCTGACTTGTTATAATGAAATGTCGAAATGCGCATATTCAAGTAGTCCAAAGTAAACCAGCCTTTGGAAATAAGACACTGTATGAATATTGCCATGTCAAATTGAGCGACCCCTTCAAATATATCATGGGCTAAGCAGGGTGGTAAGGATGGCTGACAAACATGAAAATAATTCAATTGATTAAATATGCAATCATATTTTATTCCAGTGATATTCCCAGATACTTGTAGCAGCATTTGATTAACGCTCTGGTCATACGATTCCTTTGTACGTAATGTCTCGATGACAATTGAGTTTTCTGAAAAATCACTTCTTTTAACGGAGCAATATCTACAAAAATATTCTGAAGTGCCAAAATTTGTAACAAATCCTCCTATCCAATGACTACCGAGATTATCACCTAATATGCAAGAAATACTCCCTCGAACTTTTTCAGAAAACCCCAAGTCAATTCCTTCATGTTCAATAATTTTCAAATCTGCCAATAGAGGACTGAAAATGTCTTTAATACATTCATTGCTGACATAATGTTCTTTTACAAGCATCACAAGCTGGATAGGAGAAACTTTTGACCGACAATAGGGGTGAATATTACCCAAGGTGAAGTATGTTGCGAGAATCTTATGTTTTTTCTTCGCGGATCCTAAAGGATTAACTATTTCGAACGCGTCTTGATAGAGAATAATTTGTAGAGGCCTTAGAACAGCTTCTTGATTGAAGAAAGAATTTTTTTTGAAAGCGCCTCCATCTTTTATGTCCAAAAGGTAGTTTCCTGGATCAATTGGGTTAAGATATTGATAGCGAATGCTTTCATATTTGAAAAGGGCTTTGATTGAATCAACAATAGGTATATACTGATAGCTCTCCTTATTCGGTTCAGGCTGAGATAAAGTTCTAGCTACATTGTAAGACAATGGTTCAACAAAGGATAGTAAGTTTTTGTATAAGCGTTCTCTGAGATAACTTGATTGCAGAGTTCCATCACCAACAGGAGTATTCATCATTACATGCATTACGGATTCAAGCACTTTTTTGATTACAGATTGATCAATGCCCTCATCTTGCAATACATTTTTGATAGCCAATTCAATGGAAGCATGTGTACAGCTGTTGATTTTCTGCTGTGCCTCAAGAATTTTGCTGATAGTGATACCAGGAATGAGTAGTTTATACTGCAGCATTGCACAGAACACTGTGCAATTTCTTCTGAGAGTCTCCAAAGAATCAACACTTGGATCCATTTGAATCAATGGAGATGGTGATGAGAATACTTGGGGTGTCCGTATGGATCCAAAAATAATGGGACAGTCAATTTGCATAACTTCTTCACGTGGCTGGATAGATAAACGATGGGTTCTTCGAATATGGGAAGAAAACGTGTTCAGATTTCTAAACTTTCTGAAACAAGCAAGGTATGGACAAGAAATTTCTTTACCAGCTCGAATATGATTTTTCAAATGTTTTACTATTAATGTGGAATCTTCAGCATCATAGCCACATATTGAAACATTGCAACACAGGTCTACATCTGCCATATTTTTAGCCTATTATTGCTGTATTAAATCATCAGAGAATAAAAAGTAGTGTAATTGAAAAATTGAAGAGAATGGCTTGAGTGAAAACATGAATAAGACTTTCCCTTTTTAGTAATTAGAGACCATGAAAATATGTTTGGTTGAAATCCATATGGTACCGCTACCGTAATATACCAGTACGGTACCGTAACTATCGGTATTTACCGGTACTGGTATCTAAGTTCTAACTACGGTATTCGGTACCGTACCGGTCCACAAGTCCAACCATTCACAGAATCCAGGAATCACGTTCCATATTTTCACCAACTTTATAACTGTGTATTTAGAATTTTAGATACGGTACCGTACCAATTTAGTGGAATTGTGAGGTTTTAAATAAAGGCACATCAGTCTCCCAATCAACCTAACCCAGTCTCCGAAACTCAAGCCCTGCAATTACATTCAACTGCGAATTTGACCCTGCTGATATACGGTAGTTAATGATCACCAGCCAAAAAAATGCTTAGCTGTATTGACCAGGGTTAAATTAGGTGAAATTTTACTCAGTGCGTAGACCACCGTACCGGTACCGTACCATACCAAACACAAATAATGCGGAATTACGGTATATCAAATCTCCAGCCATATATCTGTACCGGTATATTACTGTATAAAGTACCACGACGTACAACACACTCACGGCGACAAACACTGACAATAACAGTACCGGTACCATAGTTACCTCCTATCTCATCTTTTGGCGTGGTTTACTGTACATAAACATCTTATTACGCGCTTTGCATATTCAGCTCCAAAGCGGCGCAAAAGACACTGCGACAACTTCCACTTGCAAAAACCAGTTCGAAGGAAAACACGAGGCGGAAATTGCCCGCGCGACACGTAAGAAGCGAATGCGCATGCGCGGCGACCCTATTTACGCACGCGGAGCACCACTGAAAAAAATTACTGTGCAAAAACCAGTAAAACTTTTTACTGTATATCAATCACTGCTCAAATCCCAGTGATTTTACAATTTTTTTGTTACAGTGTGGGATTTCTTATCTGGTTACAACTTAATGAGTGTTTTTCATACAAGTAACTCATAACAGCGTTTGGAAGAACTTTTGGTCATTTTTAAATCCATGCTATTTACATAACTAGAGTTTTCTAACGACCTAAAATAGCCCTTTTCACAATGAAACGCCGAAAAGCCATTTTAACATTTAATTTTAATCAACTTTATTTTCGGTAATGCAAGAAATGGCTAATGACATGTCACCAAGCATGCGGAGTTTTAAATCTGGGAAATTTATTTCAAATACCCAATCTGGTTTGACGTTTCTAAATTTACGGAACGGTCGGTAGGTTTTTTTGCAAAATATGGAATTGGAACGATAAGTCAAGTGCAAATATAAGCATATAACACCATAACGCAAAGACAACGACTTTTCAAATTTGTCTTTTTTTTCTGATAGCGAGCGCCGTTGGGAAATCTCGCACAATTCACGATTGAGTTGGAGACCCGCGAGTTCGGCGTCCAAGCAGAGCGGCGCAGGTCACGTGGTAACGGATATTCGAATAGTAAAATGCCATTCGAATATTTTATTATTTGAATATTTTGCCCAGCCCTACTTGTTACGATGACTTGGTATTTAAATACGCGCTTAATAAGGTTTGTTGCTATTTTACCTTGTGTTGTTTGTGTGCGGCTCTTCATAACTTTGAGGTTTGAAATGCGGCTCTGGGACTAAAAAAGTTTTGAGAACCACTGGTATAGAGTCTATAGATTAAAAATCTTTGTGCGTAAGTCGCAAGTGAAATAGTTAAAGACTAAGCCACAACCCTGTGAGATTGACCACTTCCCAGGGAACTGAAGGGCCGATCCGGACGAAATTTGGTGTGAACCCTGGAAGCGATACCAAACTGACACAAAATTTTCATAACGATCGGCAAAGGTAAGTGAGCCAAAACAGGCTTTTAGTGGCCCGGAGCTACCTGTCATTCAAGCCATCGATCAAGTCACGCTAGAGTGATTTTGGCGTTCAGAGGCCGTTAAACTACGTTCTCGGGGCGGAAAAGCGTTTGCCAGAGTATTGGAAATTTTTTCAATCCATTGCGCCTGATGCAGTGGTTCTCAAACTTTTGATCGCGCTTTAAGCAAATGAAAAAATTTTCGGCACTTATAAATTTTAGTTACAAATACATTATAACATAACAATTATCACGTTACAACCACATTTACTACAACTCCAAGGCAAATGCAATAATATTATCAGTCTAATAATGGATAGTGCGCACTCAAGTTTCACAAGCTTGACCGTTGCATTTAGTCCATATGCAACTACGAATACTGCACAAAGGGTAGTTTAACGAGAATGTAGTTTCAAAAATTTCGTAATCTGTGTGAATGGGTCTTTGCCAGAACGCACTTGCAAACAAAAGTTTAACTTCTCAAGGCAAAGTGTATATACATACGGCCATTGTTGCTAGCATGACCGAGATACGTCTTTATCAACAGCCTGCTTAGTTTCAGATTTGGTGGCCCACAACTATTTAACATTGTTGACGAAATAAAATACTACTACTACTACTACTAGTATCCGTCACGTAAATATTACGCAATAGCAGTTGTACAGTGATTTCACAATTGAAATAATACGGCTGATCTGCCACAAATCTGTGTTGCCAGCTTAGTAGATGATGACGACATATTTCGCTTCAATCTAACTCACCAATAATTGTAAATTGTGTTATGTTCTGTATGCTGATTGTCTTATTTTTTGACTATCGTAATTTGAGAAGTGTACTGCCGGAAAATTTGTATTTGAATTAAAAAAAAATAATCATGTTTTCGTGAAGTGGAATATTTTCGTCGCGGTTATTACCTGGCAGCCATAAATTCCAAGTAACAGTAGACCAGTGGTCCGCAAATACGGGGTCGCGACTAGGGCTGGGCATTTCCGAATACCTGGTGATTTCAGAATCGAATCGAATATTTTTTTCGAATCGAATCTCGAATACTTGGAAAATATATAATTGTAATCGACTTTTTATTGTAATTAGTCCTATCAACAAATGAATTACTGAAGACATAGAATAAATCACTCAGACAGATTACTGAGCGTTCACACAGAATAACAAACACGTTTTATCAATAACTCACTACAGAAAATAGTCATTTGTCAATTGCGTTGAAAAAATATGGCTTCTATATGAAACATTTGGGAATTCACCTCGACCATTGGCGGCAAGAAACAAAACAAGATGGCGGCGATTCGAAATTTTGCTTTGAACCGATTCGAATAATTTACTATTCGATTCGAATATTCGATTCGAAATGCCCAGCCCTGGTCGCGACCCAAATTTACCTTTGCTAATTTCATAGAACGATCAATTGTTAATAAGAAATGAGGTCGGAACATCTCAGATATCTTGTCTATATGCCGGGAAGTGGCGATATGGAGCCTAAAATTATTGCCTTCGCAATCACAACCCATGGATCGATCTCAGATGCCCGATACAGATCTTTCAGGTTGAGCACAAGTCGTTGTATTTTCAAATTATTTGATCTGTCTTATCCAAGATGCTACCATGATAAACCCATTATGCTCATCATAAACCAGGGATGGAGAACCTTTTCCGACGAATGGGTCAAAAATTATATTTTAATCACGGAACAGAAGAGTGTGGGTCACAAATATTTTATCAATATTAGTATTATTAAGAAACTTGCTGCTGCATCCTATCTTTCAAATCTTATAAGCTTCGGATGGTGTTGTGTAGTTTTGGGCTTCATTTATGCAGCACTTCTACCAGAGACTAATGGACTGTTTATGACACTCGATTTTATGAAATTTGTGTACAAAAACACGCATATGAATTACCCAAAAACGTTTAGAATGATGCGGCAAAGTATTATGCGCGCCAAAGAATTTGGAGGGAATTCCACTCTGATAGATTTAAATTTTTCGATTGGCTTTCAACCACATTGAGGTATACTTTCACACTGCCCCATTGTTATTTCAGATTTCTAGGTCCTCATTTTGGGACTAACAAATTTTGTTTTCTCCACGACATTGTAGGCGAGAAAGTAAAGAATGCGAAGTAGCGTCTAGTTTTCGTATATCCTGAACTAAACAGTCTGCAGTGCCTTTTAGGTTCATGTGAATGAACGCTGCAACAAGAAGTTGCGAGAAATGAACAGATCAAAGTGATTGTTTTGTCATAAACCATATCACAGCCAATAGCTGCTTAAAGGTATACAGGGGTGAACACGTGCGTCCCAGATTGGGAGTTCTGAAAATTACCATACCGATCCGGAAATTTGAATTTGAGCGTTCGCAGGTCTGGCTGCCCAACTGACGTTACATTATGTAGTTTACTTACTGTTAACTTTGTTTGAAGCCGGTTTTATCAATTTTTATCACTTACAAGTTGGTATGTTTTTATTTCATTCGTGCCTTGGCGGGTCACCGAAAAAACGCGGTGGGTCACTTTGTGACCCGCGGGTCAGTGGTTCGCCATCCCTGTCATAAACAAACAACTCCATAGCATGAGTTAAATATAGAAACGCTAGCATCTTTTTGACGCGGCGGAAGTATGTGTACCAATATGGAGGTAACTAATTTTGTTTGAAGAGATGACACCTATGGGAAGGGGTACATTCATTTGTAATAGAACTGAAATAAAGAAAACCAGATTAAAATCATGATCTAACCCTAACCTGGTACACATATATACTAGGGGCGTATCCATTTTTTGATGAATTAACAACAACTGTTTTTTTTATTTTTACCGACGTTTGTAAATTCTAATATCTAGTATGATAACGTCATATCGAAATAGCGTTGTTTGACAAGGCTCCTTCAGTCTAGGGCAGGGAGGCAACCCCTGGCACGCGTGCCAAACTTGGCACGCGAGCCCATTTATTCGGCACGCGAGCGAGGCCTCAGAAACGAGATCATTCTCTTTCAGATAAAAAGCTTCGAGACTCTGAATTAGGTGATGAACTCGGTGTTCGTTTATTCCTTATCGTTTCTTAACAATCCGTTATTCATTCGAACTCGTTTTGTCTTTTCATGACATATGGCTAGAAAGAAATATATTATGACGTAAAAACTCGACGAATTTTGTCGAGAAGAACACTCCTTTCATTTGTCTACATTGTTACGTATCCTACATCGTCTGTGCCACACTTTTCTTCATTTCTGATTGATTTATAAAGTTGTACAGCTTATGTTGGTTAGAGTTTCATGTCTTAAAAACTTTGCAACTGCATTACTCTCCATGTTTTCATCTACATATGCTTGTGAATCTCTGTTCTCAGTTATGACCAGCGCCGGATTAACCATTAATAAACGATATGAGCACGTGCTTAGGGCACCAAGCAGAACCAGCCAGCAGGGGCACCACAGAAATTTTAAAGCAAAATTTTATATAGTTTATCGGTGTTCATTAAAATATTACGAGTTCACCAGACGACTCAAAGTTCAAAATATCCGCTCATTTTTCGTCTCAAAGTATCATATTAACCTTCTTTATTAAAAATAAACACTGAAACTTTTTTTTGGACACGAAATGGCCTATGAGTCGTTTTCTTAATGTGTTGTTGTTTTTTCTTTCTAGGATTCTCCTTGTTGCTGCATTTTTGTTTTAAAAAAATTTCATTTCTCTTCAACAATTGGACCAATGAACTATTTACACTATGTGGCGGTTCCACGATCGCATTTCAACGATCTAGTGGTCAGCGAAGTCGGGAGTATTTTGATAAGATAGACCAGGGTGGTCCGAACCCTGTCATGCTGATACATTTCGTGCGGCTCACCCCTCACCTAACAATTTTAGCGTATATTTGTATCTAATGGGGGTAAGGTTTTTGAGTTTTTTTATTTATTCCAACTGGGGTTGGGATTTCGAGATTGAAACCCTTTTTCTAACGCTTTGTGCCTTTATTTTAGTAAAAACACTCCTCTGTTTTAAGCGTCGGCCATGTGACAGTAGTGACGAAACGTAGAGCCGACTTAACGCCGCGCAATCCAGT